CCTTCTTTTTGTAATTAATAAAAAAATTAATAATAATAATAATAATAATAATAATAATAATAATAATAAATAACTGCTTCCAGTGGCTCTGGAAAGTTCTGTGCCTTTTGATATAGAGATACAGAGATAATGCAAATTGTTCCCTTTGTTTGTGATTTTCTCTTTCCCTGTTTTTGTCTGCCTTTTGTTCCGTTTTTAAGTTAACTTTTTTCCCCTGTTTCCTGATGTTTAACATGTAAACGTCCAAGGTATATTTTTTGCTAGCTGAACAGTGGCATGTGTACTTGTTCTGATCTGGATGTAGCAAATCAATCATTATTACACTCATAAACCAGCATAACAGGGTGGGGCACAGTCATTATCCAGTGAGTAAAGTAGAAAAGAGACGTAGAAAGTATAAAAGCTATCAAAATGAGAATCTGAAAGGAATTGTACATAAAAAGGAAAAAGCTAAAAGGGACGGAAAAGGTATAAAAGATATATAAGCTAAAAGATATATAAAAGCTATCAAAATGAGAATCTACAAGGAATTGTACATAAAAAGGAAAAAGCTAAAAGAGACGGAAAAGGTATAAAAGATATATAAGCTAAAAGATATATAAAAGATATCAAAATGAGAATCTACAAGGAATTGTATATAAAAAGGAAAAAGCTAAAAGAGATGTAAAAGGCATAAAAGATATATAAGCTAATATATATAAATGAGAATCTACAAGGAATTGTAAATAAATAGTAAGAAGCTAAAAGGGATGTAAAAGGTATAAAAAATATAAAGAAAAAATATAAAAGGGAGAGTCTGAAAAAAGGGGTGGGACCACTAGGTGGATATAGGGGAACATAAAAAGTTAGTATGTGCATGAAGTTACAAAGCTCCCAAATAGGACACACTGATCTAGTTTGTAACGTTACGCCCGAAGCATGAGATTCAGGTCATCATGTGACAAATTTTGAACGCTGCTGCACAGAATCTAGCAATGCTGTATACTGAGGCAGGAGTTACTACCTGAAAGTAAGAGGGAGGTGTAAAATTGCCCTGTTTCCTGGATTAGGATGGAGTAGATGACACTAGCGGGAACGTCTGTAGTGTGAGCACTGGAGAAACACATGCTGTGTTGTTTCTGTGTGTCCAGAGTCGCAAGGCCAGGGCCGCTCCGCGTATCGACCTTCCAGGATGGCTGAGCAGAGGGCATGGCATTGTGCCAACATAAGGCCCTTTTGTGCCCAGGGACTTTCGAGGATCGTTAGATATGCCACGGGGGAGACGGAGTACCGGGCAGATTCATTGGCCAGCACACACTAAAGTGGAAATTACCCACAGTCATTTTCCAAGATTTTTAAGCTGCTTAATACAAAGGGAACTTCCCTGCGCTGCTGGGTTCCCGGTGCAAAGCTCCGTGTCTTCTTTCAGTTTGGCTTCGTAGCTGGTCATCACACAATTCCTCCCTGCCAGGACTGGCTTAAAACGTTTTGCTGCCCCAGTGAGAACAACTCATGCCATTAACCCCCGCTCTTTTTGTGTGTTTCAGAGATCCAGGGGGAGGCGGTAAGTAAACTGATTTCCCAAAACGCCCTCCAGCATTAAAAGAGACTCGCTTGAGTTGAGCTTGGCTCCTGGACACGTCTTCGCAGCTTTCTTGGCAACAGTACGAATGTTCTTTGCCACTGCCTCCTTCCAATATTTTTTTCCCCCTCTTAGCTTTCCAGTCTAGCAAGAGCTAGATTGATCTTCTCAATCTAACAAGCCTGAGATTTCCTAGTGGTCTCCCATCCAAGCGCTAAAAAGGTCTAGCCCTGCTTAAGTTTTGGGGAGGTAAACCAAAATCACGTTGGGGTTGCCATGCAGCCGGGCCGAGGAGCATTACTTTCTGTTCCCCACTTTAACTCCTAACACTTCCTCCTTCATTCGTGATACGTTGCTCTTTCTACATCGCAGCTTCCTGTATTTCCCCAAGGTGTAGCAAAAGAACAGGCACACCTCGCCGCTATTCCCTTCTATGCTGTGGCTGGAACATCTGCTACCAAACCGCAGCTATGCTTTTTTAAGACTCCTTAATTTCTTTCTTTCTTTTGGATCCTCTGGACAACTCTCACTTCTCCTCCCAGAGAAAAGCTGGGGGGGGGGGTGCTTTAATAAAGTGCAGAGTTTCCTCAGGATGGTGCTACCAGATTATTGAGCAAGGCAATCTTCTTGGGATGTTCCTTTAGGTTCACACCACCACTGCTGAAGAGGAGGAGGAAGAAGAAGAGGCTCAGTATACATATGAAGCTCCCCCAAGAGAAGAACCAATTAGGAAAATGTCTGTAGCCAAACAGCAGGAGGCTGCAGAGGGCATATACCTTGGTAAGGTGCAAAGACTAGATAAGCTTGTAAGGTCTATCATAATCATGGGAGAATCTCTTAGTTGCTGGATTTTGGTAGTCCAAATCATGATGCTAGACAAAGGATATATTTTGGGCCATGCTGGATTTTGGAAACCATTCAGGCTGTGTTTATATGTGTGTGTATACGTGTGTGTGTGTGAGAGAGAGAGAGAGTGAGAGAGAGACCTGAGCCATTGATCTAATCCTTGAGAAGCCACTTGGAATAAAGAGGCATGCAAGAAATTCTTAGTATTTTGCAATTCCCATTTGCCTTTCAGTTGCTGATCTCAAAAAGCTAAGCAGGGTTGGACCTGGTTAGGACTTGGAAGGGAGACCACTAGAAAATAACAGAGTTGGATTAGGAGAAGGCAATAGCAAAGTAATTTGGTATTGTTGCAAAAACAAAAACAAAAAACCACACAACCCTAGGTAGATACATCCATGAGGTCAGCAGGAGTCCAGCAGACTTGATGGTTTGGGGCCCTTCTCTGCCTGGTTCCTTCCCAACTCTGTTGTCCAGAACCCACACCCCCTAAGAGAACAAGCCTCCAAGGAAAGAGGTGGGTTGATGTCAGAGTCAGGCAAGGATTCTGGTACATGGGATTCTGAAAATCTGCCAGCCCAGCTCCTTCCAGGGGAGGGGGTGTTGGGATGAACCTCTTTTTGGGAATCTGCCATGTGGTCCATGAATACAGGACTTTTTAGGAGGGCAGTTGCTCTAAACTGCACTACTGGCATTCATCTGCTAAATAGCTGAGTTTCAGCAGCATGATTTGAGGCTGGTTTGGGGGAGTTTAAAGGTAGAAATCAGATGGCTAGAAATTAGAAGTCTTCCAGAGGCTGCCTGCTCCCAGTGCCATCCTTATTTTGGGGCAAAAAAAGCAAGCTTTTGAAAATTGACATTATCTCAGTGAGCTGAGGCTAATTATAATAATTTAAATAAAACAAAACTCATATTAGAAGGAACTCTTTGTCTATACTGCGGTTGTTCAGCCTGTTTCTAAGTACTACTTGTGGATCAGCAATTGCTTCAAATCCCCTGCTCTCTTTCCACATTATTTTAAAAATTAAACTGGACTGGCATTGAGTAACTCTTCAAAAATGACCAAGAGATTGATCTCTCTCTCTCTCTCTCTCTCTCTCTCTCTCTTTCTTTCTTTCTTTCTTTCTTTCTTTCTTTCTTTCTTTCTTTCTTTCTTTCTTTCTTTCTTTCTGCCAAGGATCACAAGTGTCAGGGCAGTGACCCAGTCACATCCCTGCAGGAGATGAACTATAAATGTTGACACTTTTTTTGCACATTTTGGAGAAGTTCTTTTCTTTAAAAAAGATTAATGTGTTAAGTAAAACAACTCTTTTCCTTGTGTTCTTACTGAAAACTGGTAGACAATCACGCCACTGGTATTTGACAGGGTAAACGTGGGAGCTTCTAGGATTGCAAAAAGGGAGGAGGGGGAATCAAGTTGGCTTGATGTCGGCTACAGCTGTTGGATGGCCCACAGATGACGAGAAAGATGCCTTCAGAAAAAGGGCAGTCTCTAATTTCAGACCCATGAATAATTTATGCACCAAGGTTGGGCTAAATAATGCATGGAGGACCTCTCCGTATCAGAGAAAGAGGTTCATGGATGGAGAAGATGGGATATGAGGAGGAGGAGGAGGAGAAGGGACAGCAGGGAAAATGATTAGTGAGGGAAAGCGGATGTCCAATACTTTCTCAGATTATTTCTCTGCCCTTAGATTGTCCAGGCCTAAGACGCTTCTCTGAGCCGAACAGCAGTTTGCATTCAAAGCCCTGCATGGTAAGAGACTCAGAGTTTGTGAAAGTGTCGATTACCATCAGTCACTCAACTACCCTCTTTTTCAGCTCTTTGGAAACCAAAGAGCTGAATCCTCTAACCTTGCATGGAATAATTTCACACAGTCCTCCCCGACTCTGCTTTTATTTTTTGCATTGTACCAGTGGAGGTTTCCTCTTTCTCCTAATACTGGAGCCATGAACTTTTTCATCTAAAGGAGGGGAAAACCAACCTGATCATGCTAAATGGATGACCTTAGTCTCCCATCTTCA